GTATTGGTTTGTCCTCTTCTTTAGTCAAAACTTCTTTCCTTCTTTTTGATTTTCCAGGATTTTTTTTCTTTTATCATTTCTGTTTAAAGAACTACTTCCTTTAGCTATTCTTTTAGGATATCTCTGCTGATGACAATTTCCCTTTGTTTTCCATCACCTAACAATGTCTTGATTATCTTCCCTATTCCTGAAGGATATTTTCAGTAGAAACGAAATTCTTGCTTGACAGTTACTTTCTTTCAGCACCTGAGAAATGTGCTACTTCCTTCTGGGCTCCATGGTTTCTAGTGAGAAATACACTGTCGTTCAAACTGTATTTTCCTTCTAGTACTTGTTTGCGTTTTCCTAATTGCCTGTTGAAGCATTTTTACAAGGGCTGCTTTAAAATCTCTGTCAGATTTTTAGAACATCTTGTTATCTTTGTGTTGGTGCCTATCAATTACCTTTTTCATCCAAGTTGAGACTGTCTTTACAACAAGTAACTTTCAATTGAAATCTGGACATTTTGAGAATTAAGACACTGGATCTTATTTAAATTTTGTGCTTTTTAAGGCTTTTCCTAATAGTGCTCCATCAGAAGAAAGAGGGATATTACCTCATTACTGCCATATGGGAATAGAAGTTCTGGTTCCCAACTTGGCCTCAGTAGACACTCAAAAATGGAAGAGGCTACTAATTACTGCTGGGTAGCAGAGGGGAGTTCTAGGTTCCCATGAGGCTCTACTGACACCACCCTGACTGGGAGGAGGAGGCAGGCCTCTTGTCTCCTTCCCACATGGTTTCCACTCCTCATTACCTTCACCTGCCTGGTGTTATGTGCACACACAAAAAGACTAAAAAACAGAATCAAACAGGAAAGTATACAAATGTGGTTTTATGACAGCTTTTCAGATTGTCTCTATTTTGTTACTTGTTACTATGCTTATAAACTTTTATTTATTTAAAAAAACTTTACAGTTACTTATTTCAATATCTGATCCTAGAGTGAGAAGATAACCGTATATACTAGAAAAAAGGAAAATCGTTACCAGAGTGGAACTATATATTTGTAACTCAAAGTCTTTTAAAGAAGATGTACATAGAAAGCAATAGCAACAACAATAAAAGGTTAAATAATCTAAAAATTACCTCACAAACATCCTTACTGCACGCTTGTTCACACCCCCTTTCTGGCTTAATTATTGGATGACTGTTCTAGATTTTATCTGGAGAATAGTGAAGAAGGCAGCCTCAAAATGTTATGAATTATGAGCAAAAACGGAAAAAATACTAAATTAGTGTTGCAACAGTAGTTCTGTATTATAAAATATATAAACCTCACACTAATAGCTTCAATACACACACATTTAAGTGCTTCTCGCTTTCTCTTTTTTCTCTCTCTGTATAGACACACACACACATAAAAGATTTTAATTTAAAAATAGGAGTTTAATGAAATAACTTGTTTGATCAACTCTACCAAAAGCATGACGTTCTCCATATTCAATAACAAATACACTATATAAAAATATTCATTTTTTAAAAGTTATGCAACTAAACAACAGAAAAAGTATTTGCAGCTCCCTATCATAAGACAAATCAAAACCATTTCATATCGCACAGAGATACAGAGTTCCTAGTATTTGCAGCTCCCTATCATAAGACAAATCAAAACCATTTCATATCGCACAGAGATACAGAGTTCCTAGTATTTGCAGCTCCCTATCATAAGACAAATCAAAACCATTTCATATCGCACAGAGATACAGAGTTCCTAATATTTGTAGCTCCCTATCATAAGACAAATCAAAACCATTTCATATCGCACAGAGATACAGAGTTCCTAGTATTTGCAGCTCCCTATCATAAGACAAATCAAAACCATTTCATATCGCACAGAGATACAGAGTTCCTATGTTACTGAGATGACAAAACATTCCCATATTCCTAGTTAAAAAGCACTTCATTCTGTGGGTAACCCCTACTTTCCACATGTCCCACCTGTCATTATTCACCTAACTGCCCGTTCCTCATTTAGTCAGTGCATCCAGACTACAATGTCTTATAATCAGTTTAAGGAAACTATACTGCAGAATGGTGCAGGTCCTTTTGTATCACCACAGTATAAAAAAATCAAGCACATATGAATACATAATTTTGACATTAAAATTAAAGTACTCCTTACAACTATTAATGCTATATAGGATGGATTTTGGAATATTAATGCTAATATTCAGTCAAGTTTTTAAAATATAACACGTCTAAATATAAAGTTAACAAGTTATCCCAAGGTAAACGTTATGAGACAGAGCAGAACACACTTATCTCTACTCTCTCCACAGAGTAACACCTCAAAAATAAATTAAAACAATTATTTAAAAGGCATACTTGAATAAAGGAAATCAGAGAAGACAGAATAACAAATCTGATCACTCTATAAGAGCTGACTCATATGCTAGAAAGTTTGCTAATACCTTGAGGAGGAGAAAGAAGGTTAGCCGGGATAGCAAAGATACCCATGCTACACTGCAGATACTTCAAAAGGCTCAGGAGCTGGTAGCACCAAGTACTTATGGAAGTAGAGGTGGAGGTGTGGCTAAAAACAGATGACTTAGAGGAAAGCCTATTAACATGCCGGATCACCTCCTTGTCATCAGAAAACTAAAGGATTATCCTCTGGAAAAGGTAAAACAAGGTATCTGAGCTAGAAAACCAGACACAGTTGAGAGTTTACAGTCTGAAAACAGGGATGTTATCAGAAAGGTTACTTAATGTCCATCCAGTGTTCACCACTCTGCCACCTCCAGCCTTCTTCCCCCATTCAGCTCCCAGAACACTGGCAAGCAGACTCAGACGGCAGAAGATGGAGATGGCAGAGAGAGTCTTTTCTGAAGATCTGACCGGCCCCAAGAAAAAGATGTAAAGGTATGAACATTAGCTATTTCCTAACGAAATGGCCCCACATATCTCTCCACACTGAAATTCACTGTACATAAGCATCAGTGACTCTCCTTTTTCCCCACTCTACCAATTTGGGATTTCTTTTTTTTTTTTTTTTTTTTTAATTTTTTATTGGATTTTAGGTTTTGGGGTACATGAGCAGAGCATTGATAATAGACTGGATGGGATTTCTTTTTTAATGGGCTTACAGTATTTGACTACAGCATATGTTCAAGAAAATTTATAAAAATGGTAACAATACATTTAGAGGGAACCAAGTTTCACTACATATGTAACAAAACCAGCTATCTGGATCTTATCTGAAATCTGTGATTACTCAAGTATGCTATGCTAAATCATCTTTGCATTTTCTGTTAAATAGGAAACCTAAAATTTCATTTAAATATGACTAGATAATGGTGATTTTTAAAACCATTTGCAAGAAATGGCTCCTGCATTACAACATTTGGCAACAGCATTTTGCAGAAGTCGAATCTTTTTTTAATATATTCAATAAAAGAGGTGAATAATGGAAGATATTCACTAGGGTAGAATTAGTTTGACCTGTTGTACATACTGGAAAGTAAAATAACAACATCGGCAAACTGTACTTCTCCAAGGCAGGATTCAGATGTTTCATTAGTTCGCTAACCTACAACAATTTATAACTTCTAACAATTATTTTCCTTTCTCACAAAAGAGGAGCTATAACACCATTATTTGCATAAAACAATTTGGCTTTTCCTCTATTTTTCCATTTTCCATAATGCATTTGGTTTCCAAAATCTGCTAAACTGTAATGTAAACTATACTAGAAATGCATCGTGTATTTATGAGAATTAATGAACTGCCTGATCTCTTCATTTCTTACCGCACCTAAAGTATTATATTCATGTATTCGGTATCTGCTACACTGAATAAAAATCTTCCTCCACTTAAACTGTTTTCATCAAGCAGCTTAATTTCTTGTAGAAATATAAAACATACACACTGCATTCCTAACATTACTTAAAATACTTTTGGCACTGCATTTTGCTCTAAGTTAAATCAGTTTTTATATGTGCAAATTTTTAAAAGGCATCCTGGAAACATTCTAAAATAATTCTAAAAACTGAATTTCCATACTTTCTACCTTAAATTACCCATTGGCATCGGCACCCACTACTAAGAAAACCCAAACTTTCACTCAAAAACACTTACATTCTTACTTTCGCTTAGTTGAAGATGCAATAAAACAATCTACCCTTTTAATTTTAACAGCGTAAACTTTAAAATTACAAGGTGTTCAAGACTAAATTTCATTAAATGCCATCAAAACATCTCTTCTTTTGACATACCTATCAGTATGCTGTAAAGACTAGTCATCTCTTGTACAGCGCTAACTTACAGTTTTCATATTTCCGAATTAAAGCTCCCCATGGCCCCTATTCAGCTATCTGGCATTAGAAAATAAAGAGTTTTCTTCCTTTCTTTCCTGTTCATTATTAGGTCTTGAAATAATTCAGCAACAATTTCACCCATGTTGTGCCTTTCACTCTCTTAAAGCCAGCCACAAAAACAAGTCCCTGAATCCAAAAGCTAGGCCAGATTATGAAGGAAAAAGAGCAGAAATTAAAGCTAGTAACAAAATCACCAAAAAAACAGAGCAGCAGAGAAGACTAATTCTGTTACAGGAAAATACGGCAACCGCTAAATATAAACCTCTGACTCCTAAAATTTCTTCTCATTAGCTGAAAATGTCTTTCCTTTTAGCTGCAATTTATTGGCTTACTATGGTAAGAATGATTCTTTCATGCTGCAAAAGAAGTGTTGAAATATTAGACCAATTTTTTTAAGTAAAAATAAGTATTACTTTGTCACAGTTTATTTCGTAGACAAAAGGTCTCAAAATCTTGATAAGGGAAACAAAATGATGTAAACATCATAATCCACAGATATACACAACTGTGACAACACACATGTTTAAGTTCAGAAACTGAAATCATTAAATGAAGGTATTAAAACCTATTGGAATTTATCACAATAATTTACAAAAATTGTTGATGAGTTTTAAAATGATAATGAACATTTATCATGCTGACCTGGATTTCCTCCCAGATGTCCTCATCCAGGAAAGTAGCTGCTCTGTGGTGCTGCAAAGGGACTATCAGGCAGTGCCCCTCAGTCAGAGACTGTACGCTGGGTAAACATAAATAAACCTATGAGGAAAACATTCAAAAGGTGAAATGTTATTGCTATTTATTCTCAGTTGTAACAGATGAGCCCCTAGAAGAAAAAAAATGATGAGTATTTAATTAAGAATACTTAAGAATTGTTTTTGTAAATGTTAATATTTTTAAAGCCATCAAGATAGCTCTTCCAAACTGTAAATGTAGAGCACCGATCTCAATTTTCACCATTATATATCAGACAAGGATTAAGATTAGGCAAAGAAGAGCAGAATGAATGATACATTACTGGTAATCTGAAGAAGCTAGATACTTTGAAAACCCTTGAAACAACACAACTTTCACAAAAATAAAAAGACACAAGGCCTGGTAATGGTATTCTAACTGAAGCCTACTTATCAGGCCTTCCTTGTCTGATTAGCTGAGAAAAGAGAATTAACTCAGCTAAGAGGAAGAGGAAATGATCTCAGAATGGCTTTCTTATTTACATACATATATAACCGCTCTGCTTATTTACATACATGTATAACCTAAAAACTGGTGCTATTTTTCTATTATACACAAACTGTATATCTTTTTTTTTTTGAGACGGAGTTTCGCTCTTGTTACCCAGGCTGGAGTGCAATGGCGTGATCTCGGCTCACCGCAACCTCCGCCTCCTGGATTCAGGCAATTCTCCTGCCTCAGCCTCCTGAGTAGCTGGGATTACAGGCACGCGCCACCATGCCCAGCTAATTTTTTGTATTTTTTTTTAGTAGAGACGGGGTTTCACCATGTTGACCAGAATGGTCTCGATCTCTTGACCTCATGATCCACCCACCTCGGCCTCCCAAAGTTCTGGGATTACAGGCTTGAGCCACCGCGCCCGGCCGTATATCTTTTAAAAAAGGGTTAATCAGTATGTTTGCAGAGAACAAAAGCATTACAAAGGGCTTTATCTTATTTCTGTTTATATTTTGCTGGGTTTTAGCTAGAAATAGTTTGCATGGCAGACATTATTTAATAGAATAACTCAAATGTTTAAACCTTCGCTGACAACAAAGTAGGAGTAGAGTGGATATCTACCTAAAATTACAGTAAAATCACAACCATGTTCATGAAAAACAGAAAAAGAAATGAAGATTAAGGGCCATGGAAATGTCTGGAGACAACTTACAAGATTTAGAAAATGAAATATTTAAAGACATCACTGAATTTTCTACATAATTACTGAAATAGAGTCAGGTACAAGCGTCAATGATAGTCTTCAATTAAGGTGCAATAAAATTCATTTTTAAAAGCAGTATAAACATAAAAATCACCTAAAATTGGTATCAAAATCAGTTGTTCTAAATAAAAACAGACACATAAAAAAGAAATTAATACCTAAATAAATTAGAACACACAAAAAAACTTTTTATTTGACAGACAGCAGAGCTACCAATTGAATAATCAATAATTACTGAGGGCCTATTACATGCCAGATAGTGTCGCACATGCTAGGGAATCAATAATGAGCAGGGACACAAATCCCAAGCCATAAGGAGCTTATGGGGTGCTACAGATTGAATGTCTGGGTGCCTCCAAAATACATACATTAAATCCTAACACCCAAGCTGATAATATTTGGAGGCAGGGGAGTTTGGAAGGTGATTAGATCATGAGGACTCTGAATGGGATTGATTTCTTTATAAAAGAGGCCCCAGGTAATGTGCTTGCCACTTCTGCCATGTAAGGACATGGCAATAAGATGGCTATCTGTGAACCAGGCTGTGGGACATCGCCAGACACTGAATCTGCTAGCACTTTGGTCTTGGATTTCCCAGCCTCCAAAACTGGCTTCAATAAATTGTGTTACTGATGAGTAACCCAATCTAAGGTATTTTTTATAGTAGCACAAACTAAGGCATGAAAGAAGAAAAACAAATAAGCAATGTAAATGTAAAGTAAAATGTATAATATTTCAGATGATGATAAGGGGTACTAAAAAAAATAAAGCAGAAAAAGGTATACATAGTGTCTAGGGAGACGTTAGGAAGCCCCCCTTTGAAGTTATCTGTTAGGGTAACATTTGAGAAGATACGTGAAGGAAGGAAGGATATACACAGAAAGAAGCCCCCAGGCAAAGGGAAAAGCATGTGAGGAGGATGTATACCACGTGTGTTCTCCAGATGGTCAGACAGCCAGTGTGGCTGAGCTGAGAAGATGAGAGGAAGGCTCACAGACAGTGAGGTAAGAGGAAGAATTGGGCCTGTAGGCCTCATAGGTGACGATAAGGATTCCAGCTTTCGTCTGAAAGCCAGGTCTGACTAATGACTTAAAGTCAAAAAGATCACTTGCTACTGTATAGAGAAAGGGCAAAGGAAAAAGGCAGAAAAACCCATTAAAACTATTACAGGAGTCCAGTAAGAGATGATAATGACTTGAGCCAGGGTGGTGGAAATAAAGATTATGAAATGTGGTCAGAACAGGAATATATTTTGAAATACAGTCAACAGAATTTAGAAATGGACAAAAAAAGAGGAAGACTACAGGAGGGTTAGTATTAGCTTAAGATAAGTAAGTGTGGAGACAAGTATTAGACCTTTACTAAGTTTGAAATAAGAAATTTAAAAAGACTCTAGTAACTTAAGGTATGTTATCTGAACGCAATGGAATTAAATGAAAAATCTGTTACAGAAATGTCTTTGGAAAACTGCCATGTACTTGGAAACTAAAGAGTGTACTTCTAAATCACCCATGAAATAACAAAAAATTAAAAAGGCAATTAGAAATGAATTTAAACAGCAATAAAACAAAAATACAACATATAAGAATTTGTGCAATGCTGCTATAGCAGAATTTAGAGGGAAAATTATAGGATTAAACATCTATTAAAAGACAAGACAGTTCTCAAATCAATGATGCCAACTGCCACCTTAAGAAACTAGAAAAAGAACAAAAAATAAAATCCAGTGTAAATAGAAGAACAGGGATTTTGACATTTATCTTTTTGTTAAATATGAAGGAAAAGAGAAGAAAAAGAAGGATAAAAAAATAAAAGAAGCCAAAATTGACACTGATGAATTAGCTACTTCAACAACCTAAAGATATTAGAGACTACGGATATGTGTACATACATGTATGCATACAATAAACAACCATAAATATGTGTATGTACATTTTCCAAACTATAAGTTCCTGAAATCAGCATTCATTCAACTTCTTCCACCTTTTCACACTGACTCCACTCCTGCCTTCTTTCTGCTCCATCAATGCCAAGCTCATTTCCTCCTCAGGGCTTTTTACTGATGGTCCTTCCTGAAACATTATTCATTCCTATCTTCATGTTACGTGTCCTTCCCATTTTATGTATCTTTACTAAAGATCCTTAGAGAAGCCTTCCAGACTACCGTGTGAAAAAAATACCCCCATCATTTTCTCCCATTTCTTCACTTTACTTGCTTTATGGCAATTAATTCTTTCAAATCAGGGCAATTATAACTTTATTTACTGCCTTACTGCACTATGCATAAGGTCCAAAAGTCCATCTGATTCTTGACTTTTCCCCAGTGACTAATTAGGGTATAGCATATATTAGGTATACAAAAATTATTTACTTAATATAAGAATTAAATCAGTAAGTATTTATTGAAATCAATTACTATTATGTACTACAACCAGGGCTAGATGCTCAGTATACAATGGAGAGCAAGAGTTATCGCTATCTTCACGGAGCTTAAAAACTATTAGGGGAAAGACCCAATAAACAGGTAAAACGAAGAAAGTAACTTCTTCAAGTTATTCTATGAAGAAACAACAAAGCTCTACGAGAAGGTAAGTAAAGGTTAATAAATACGTCTTACCTTAACACCTATTGCAACAATAAGATGCTTGGGAAATTGAGAGCTGTCAAAACAATACAGGCATTTTTCCATTTGTGCAGCAAGACTCCGATGCTCAGCAATAGCTTTTTTCCACTGGTTCTCTTCCTCTTCACCAAGACGTTCTCTCTCAGCTGCTTTGGAGACAAACATGTCATCCAGGGTATAATAGTCTCCATCTGTTTTTCCCATAAACTGAAAAACCAAAGTAACAGTAATGAAGAGTAGAAGGTAGTGATTAAGATTTCATTGTACTGTGGTATCCTAAATCCCTATCTGTAAGTTCTATGATAAAACTCATACATTTAAAAGAAAAAAAAACATGATTAATATTTAAGCTTGATCTTCTAGAGTCAATCATCATCATCATCACAGCTAAAGTTGACTCAATATTTACTATATACAATTCTATGTGACTTGTTCATATTTTATACTCCTATGAGGTAGGATCACTATCATTTTCAACTAATAGATGAGCCAAGTGAATCACAGAGAGGTTAAGAAACTGTAACTTTAAAAATTCACATATACACTATATATTACATGAAACATTTTTTTTTTTACCACATCTCCAGGTACCTTCTCCATACCTCCCCTAACATGAACTACAGACAGGTTGATGCCTTCAAAATACAAAAACACAAATTTTACTTTCTTATTTTATGTACCTCCTTATAATCCTCAGAGTTCTATACTGTGTACAGGATTAAGTTCAAACCCTTGAACTTGAAAGCCAACAAAATCATACATACAGAAAGTCATAATGGTTTAAAGCTTAGATTCTACAGTCAAAATGACCACGGTGAAGTTTTCTCTCCTGCATATATAACCTTGAACATATTATGTAATTTCTCTGTGCTCTCTCTATGCCTTATTTCCTCATTTACAATGGTTATAACAACACTGCCTGAGTATCCCTTATCCAAAATGCTTGGGATCAGAAGAGTTTTAGATTTCAAATATTTTCTGATTTTGGAATATTTGCATACACATAATAAGATATTACTGGGATGGGAACACAAGACTAAAATGAAGTTCATTTATGTTTCCTATATACCTTAAGTCCACAGCCCTAAGGTAATTGTATATAACATTTTTAATAATTTTATGCATGAATCAAAGTTCATCTATATCAGAAAGCAAAGACGTCATTATGTCAGCCACCCATAAGGAATTACAGCATATTTACACTTATGTGTGCCTGTTGCATTGGCACAGGACTGTACAGTTACTCTGTCCCTGGCATTTCCTAACAGGCTGTCTCATCAGTTGTAGTATGTCTTCCTGGGTCAACCCTTGAGGTTTAATTCTACTCATTTTTCTTTCTTTCTTTCTTTTTAATTAGAAAGAAAGAGAAAGAGAAAGGAGGAGAGAGAACAGGAGTCTTGCTCTATTGCCCAGGCTGGAATGCAATCTAAAAACAGGTATCAACTATCTCTTTTATGCCGATAATTGTGCTTAACAGCGGAGACAGGAAGGAATAAGGGAAGAAAATAACAAACAAACAGCCAACCAATATTTCATTTAAGTCTGTGAAATGCTATGCAAATGCTGAAGAGTGATTTACTTCCAATTATGTGGTCACTTTCAAAATAGGTGTAATGTGATACTGAGAAAAATGTATATTCTGTGGACCTGGGATGAAGAATTCTATAAATATTCACTGAGTCTACTTGTTCCAGGTCTGAGTTCAAATCATAGATGTCCCTGTTAATTTTCTATCTCGTTGATCTGTCAAATAGTAACAATGTGGTGTCCGCTCCTCAGGGCTTTTTACTGATGGTCCTTCCTGAAACATTATTCATTCCTATCTTCATGTTACGTGTCCTTCCCATTTTATGTATCTTTACTAAAGATCCTTAGAGAAGCCTTCCAGACTACCGTGTGAAAAAAATACCCCCATCATTTTCTCCCATTTCTTCACTTTACTTGGTTTAGGACAATTAATTCTTTCAAATCAGGGCAATTATAACTTTATTTACTGCCTTACTGCACTATGCATAAGGTCCAAAAGTCCATCTGATTCTTTGGCAGTTCTATCAGGTTTTATGTTATATATTTTGAATCTCTGTAATTAGGTACATAAACTTGAGGATTCTTACGTTCTCTTAAAATTTTTTTTTTCAGCTTATGTAATCTACAGAATGTTCTGCCCTTTTGATGTTATGACTTCTTCATCAGATGACCCTTTATCATTCATAATACTGTGTGTCTACTTCGTCTGACATGAGTAGAATTGCTCTGTCTTCAAGTTGTTTAAAATGTCTGCTGACATCCGAATATCTTGCTATTGCTTTATATTTGATGATAAAGAAAATGTAGTTTTGTTTTGAATACTTAGTATTTGAATACTTCCATTACACTAAGTAATTTACATTACACTTAGTACTTTAATACTTCGATTACACTTAGTAGAATGTAGTATAATGGGGAAAAAAAGCCAATTGAATGAGTATGATACAGTGTAGTCATCCTGAGACTGACAGCAGTGTAAGTACGCAAGGGAGGGGCCTGAGAGATGGACGAGGTTTCTTTGCTGGAAGTGACAGCTAAATCTTACCCTAAGATTGAAAAATGAGTAGCTTGGATTCTTGACTTTTCACCAGTGACTAATTAGGGTATGGCATATATTAGGCATGCAAAAATTATTTGCTTAAATAAGAATTAAATCAGTAAGTATTTATTGAAATCAATTACTATTATGTACTACAACCAGGGCTCGATGCTCGGTATACAATGGAGAGCAAGAGTTATCCCTACTCATGTCAGACAAAGTAGATTTCATACCATACAGTATTATGAATGATAAAGGGTCACCTGATAAAGAAGTCATAACATCAAAAGGACAGAACATTCTGTAGATTACATAAGTTGAAAAGAAAAATCTTAAGAGAACATAAGAATCCTCAAGTTTACGTACCTAATAACAGAGATTCGAAATATGTAACATAAAACCTGATAGAACTGCCAAAGAATCAGATAAATCCTAACTGTAATCAGATTTTAAATACCCTACTCTCTGTATCTAGCAGCACAAACAGAAAAGCAATAGCTACGTAGACTTGAATACACTCTCAACCAACTTGACTTAATTGACATTAATAGAAATTCCACCCAACAGCAGCAAAATATACATTCTTCTCAATTGTACATGGAACACTGACCAAGATAGAGACATTCTGGGTCATAACACAAGTCTCAATAAATTTAAAAAGACTCTAGTAACTTAAGGTATGTTATCTGAACACAATGGAATTAAATGAAAAATCTGTTACAGAAATATCTTTGGAAAACTGCCATGTACTTGGAAACTAAAGAGTGTACTTCTAAATCACCCATGAAACAACAAAAAATTAAAAAGGCAATTAGAAATGAATTTAAACAGCAATAAAACAAAAATGTAACATATAAGAATTTGTGCAACGCTGCTAAAGCAGAATTTAGAGGGAAAATTATAGGATTAAACATCTGTATTAAAAGACAAGACAGTTCTCAAATCAATGATGCCAACTGCCACCTTAAGAAACTAGAAAAAGAACAAAAAATAAAATCCAATGTAAACAGAAGAGAATTTCTTTTTTTTTTTTTTAATTTTTTTTGAGACGGAGTCTCGCTCTTGTAACCCAGGCTGGAGTGCAATGGCGCGATCTCGGCTCACCGCAACCTCCGCCTCCTGGGTTCAGGCAATTCTCCTGCCTCAGCCTCCTAGGTAGCTGGGATTACAGGCACGCGCCACCATGCCCAGCTAATTTTTTGTATCTTTAGTAGAGACGGGGTTTCACCATGTTGACCAGGATGGTCTCGATATCTTGACCTCGTGATCCACCCGCCTCGGCCTCCCAAAGTGCTGGGATTACAGGCTTGAGCCACCGCGCCCGGCCCAGAAGAGAATTTCTTTAACGCCATCACCGATAGGTAAAAAAGTTATTACCAAGGTATTTCTCAGGGCACGCTGATTTCCTTGCTTCTAATAGCAATTTATTTTTTTCTTCCACATTTTCTCCATATTAGCCCTTGTATACTTCTGGAGTTTTCCAGGTTTGTCTATTTATGTAAACTGTATTGCCTTACAAATAATTGTTTTAACTTTACATCCTCATCTAAACCCTAATTCGTTGTATTCTAAAAAAATATCAGAACCGGTGGACTAATCATTTTCATGAATAAGTGTCCAACTACATGCTAGATATTAATATAAAATTTAAGTATTCTCTAATCCAAATATTTCTGCAACACAGAAATTTATATTCTCACTTGACAGATCAAAAATTGAGGCTAAGAGAAACTAAGTAACTTAATTGAAATCACACATCTATTAAAGGACACAACCAGGAATCAAAACGGGGTTGTCTGACTATAAAACTGCAGAGCGTCTGGCATAGAAGTGAGGCTTTCTCCCTTAAGAAACCAATGTTTAAAACACAGAAGGGTTATATTGTGAGTATAGTCTATGAAGCAGAATAAAGAGCAAGAAGAAAACTTACCTCAACTAGAATAAACATACCAAATCAAGTTAGGGTACTTATCAATGGGAACACAGATATCTAGTAAGTATTTGTCTTATCCAAAATGTATTAACAGGAGCACAATACACATTTATACATACATAACTGGGCCTTCATACGATATAGCCCATTGTGTTTTTGAAAAGATCATAAATGATCAGACAAAACATCCAATTCAAATCAAATGTTTTATACACGGAAGATGGTATTTCTACTCTTAGATCTAGTTTTCATGGTGTCGTCAAACCTCTCTGATTTAGTGTTTGTATTGAAAATGATACAGTCTTGCCAATTAAGTCTGACTGATTCTTCAATACAGTGGAAATTCAGTCCCCACTGATCCAAGAACAATTAATTCCCTCCTCCTACAGCCTCGATTTGCATTTTTACTCATTATCTTTTCTTTGGGCTTTGATACAAAATATTTTTCATTTATCAGTCATGTATACCTCTTCTATGACCTCCAGCCTTCCATATTCTCATTACGTGACACTTACCCGTCAACATTTTTTAACAGATAGACTGGTAAAAGATAGTGGAGAATGTACTAAGCATAAGATGGAAAAAGCGAACTCAATTGCTGGATGAAAGGAGATAAACAAAAGAGAGGCATGAAAATACGCCTCTTCATCATTTAGACAGAATCCTTTAAAAAGTATATTGTATGAACTCACTTTGGTACACCATAAA